CTTTTTATGATATGTCAGTAGCACTGAAATAAATGAATAATTACTAAAGTAAATATTTTTAAGGAAGGAAACCACTTTTGAGGCTTCATTTTAGTATTTTTGTTAAAAAGTAAATCAAATGAAATTACACTATACTTTCTATATGTACACACCCTGTGAATTTGTTTGGGTGTGCATAATTTAAAATTTTGTGCATATTTTAAGAGGAAAGAAAAAATTAAAAGGCAGCAGGAAAAAAAGTCATAAATGGAAATATCTGTTGGTAAAACATAAGTGTAAAAGAGATATGACAGGCTTCCTTCAAAATTTTACCCAGTAAAGTTGTGAGAAAAAGTAACATTTCAATATTTTTGACACATTTAAAGGCTTGGCTCCATAGTTAACATGTCAAGAATCTTAAAACCTCGTGAGAACCTTCTGTTTTTCTAATAATTAATTTCAAAATGCATTTATATTTCATTATTTAGTTGTTTTATTCTGATTAGTAAAGTTCAGGAATTTTTTGATTATCACTTTATATGTCTTATAGATGTATTTCTAAAACTGCCTTTACATTTTCTCTAAATGTTTCATTTTGTTACCTACCACTGAAAATTCTGGAATCATAAATGAACTAACCTTTTATACCTAAAGCATACACACCAGGCACTGTTTAATAATTCAAAGAGCTTTCTATAATGATGAAGTCATACTGATGAACTCAATAGGAATATACTAACAGAATTACACAAAATTTAAATAATTCACTATAGAAACCAGGCATAACAGAGTAGAAAAATAAATTCTAACTGCTCAAAATATTTTTTCATTTTCTTATGCCAATGCGTATTTCTTAAGTCATAGTGACAGCTTTTCCTCTCTTTTGTTGGTGTACATGACAGCTACTCATACTGGAGCAGGTGCAAAAGATAAATGCCTTCCTATTAAAGTCAAGAATGTCAGCTTTCAGTGTGCAATGATGGGCAGCCTTCCATCATTTTTGCATAAGAGTCTCCTGGGAAAGCTATCACCAGACCTTATTACTACACTATCAACTTATTCTCATTGCAAATTGTTATTCTTCATAGCAGTCAGAAGAGTTGCACTTTACTTTTTCAGATTCACTGATAGGTAATGAAATAAAAGAGCTGAAGAGAACACAAAAAATAATTTCATTCAACAGCAAACAAATCCAAAATCTAATTCTCTTGAAATAACATTGTACATTATAGAATTATAATATATGGATACTTATTAAATCTGACTATGAAATAACTTCTTTAAAAACTAGAAAAATAACATCAATTAATGAGATTAGAAGTTTTAAAATCATTATCAGTGTAGAAAACTAACAAAAAATGGCTATATGTTTAACATTCAAATAATTAGCACGAGGGCCAGCATTACAGTGTAAGGGGTACAGCTGTTGCCTGGGACGCCAGCATGCCAGGTAGGTGCCAGTGTGTGTCCCAACTCTTTTCTCCTCCTCCTCCTCCTCCTCCTCCTCCCCCTCATCCTCTTCCTCTTCCCCCTCCCCCTCCTCCTTCTCCTCCTCCTCCCCCCTCCTCCTTCTCCTCCTCCTCCTTCTCCTCCTCCTCCTTCTCCTCCTCCTCCTTTTCCTCCTCCTCCTTCTTCTTCTCCTTCTCCTCCTTCTTCTTTTCCTTCTTCTCCTTCTCTCCTCCTTCTCCTTCTTCTAAGATTTTCTTATTTATTTGAAAGGCAGAGTTAGAGAGAGAGAGAGAGAGAGGTCTTCCATCTGCTGGTTTACTCTCCAGATGGCCACAATGGTCAGAGCTGCTCTGATTTGAAGCCAAGAGCAGGAGCTTCTTCAGGGTCTCCCACATAGTGCAGAGGCCCAAGGACTTGGGCATTTTCTACTGCTTTCCCAGGCCATGGCAGAGAGCTGGATTGGAAGTGGAGCAGCTGGAACTCGAACCAGCGCCCAAATGGGGATGCTGGCACTGCAGGCAGCGTCATTACCCACTGTGCCACAGCACTGGCCCCTGTTCCACTTCCGATTAAGCTCCCTACTGGTGGCCTTGGAAAGAAAGCGGAGGATGACCTAAGTGCTTCCAGTGTTGGGCCCCTGCCACCCACCTGGGAGAAGCTTCTAGCTCCTGGGTCCTGGTTGTGGCCACTGGGGAGTGAGCCAGTGGATGGAAGATCTCTGTCTTTCTCTGTCTCACTCTCTCTCTCTCTCTCTCTCTCACTCTCTCACTCTCATGCTCCCTCTCTGCCTCTCCCTCTTGCTCTCTGTGGCTCTGACTTTCAAATAGATAAATACATCTTTAATAAATAAATAAAATTTTAAAAAGTGAGCACACTTTTAAGATATGAATCCCTTGGGCCGTTACTGTGACTCATTTGGTTAATCCTCCGTCTGCAGCACCAGCATCCCATATGGGCACCGGGTTCTAGTCCCATTTACTCCACTTCCAGTTCAGCTCTCTGCTGTGGCCCTGAAGACAGTGGAGGATGGCCTGAGTGCTTGGGCCCTGTACCCAGGAGGAATGTACCCAGGGATCCCTGGGAGGAAGCACCTGGCTCCTGGCTTCGGATTGGCGCAGCACCGGCTGTAGCAGCCATTTGGGGGGTGAACCAACGGAAGGAAGACCTTTCTCTCTCTTTCTCTCACTGTCTGTAATTCTACCTGTCAAATAAATTTTAAAAAATTAAAGCTATGAATCCCTCTACTAAGAAATAAGATATATTTAAACCTTGCAGGGGTAATTTTATAAATAGTCAAAACGAGCATGCTTTCTGTTTACTCTTCCTAACTTCTCCACATACCAGCACCTCCACTGATCTAGAATTGTGAGGACAAAGCTGTCGTCTGCGGCAACTTTAATAAAACTGGAATTGCCTGGGCTCCTGCTGTCTCCTCACCATATCCAAATGCCAACATCATATTTTCAACTGAAGAGTGAGACTGGCATTAGGTGGTAAATATAAATCTCAAAAAAGCAACTGAAAGAAACTATGAACCAAAAAACCCAAAAGACAAATTGAGAGCACTACGAAACATTCCCCCTGACAGTGAGGCTCAACATCCATCCCAAGTAAGGACAAACCCCAAGAAACAACCGTAGTGGAAAGAAAGAACCTCAGACAACCAAGAGACAGATGACCTGGTACTGAATGGAGGAAGGCTGAGTTTGTTCTGAGAATCTGGTGTGACAAAAGAGATTTCTTCATTGCTGTCTTAATTGTTCAAAATCAATATTTCTGCCTCATTTAGAAATCAATATCTGATCCAATCAAGATATGAATATGTCATACTGGAGTGGTAACCACCTTAACTTAGATCAATTTAGTTTTTCTATTTCAAATAATTTCCACTTTGAAATCTGGTTGTGGGGGGGTTACTTCTAAATATATATAGAGTCAAGCTTCCTTTATCTACTATGGCAATGGATCACTCTTCCATAATTTTTGATATTATATGCCCTATACCCCCAAATAAAGCTAAGACCTATTGGTTTTACATCAAAAACCAATGGAAATAACATCAAACATATTTATATCTGAAAATGGCAATAATGTCAAATATCTTCTTTTTCCAAATTTTGCCTAATAGGTATAAGTTTTGTGGTTTTTTTTTGTTTGTTTGTTTGTTTTTGTTTTTTTGACAGGCAGGCAGAGTGGACAGTGAGAGAGAAAGACAGAGAGAAAGGTCTTCCTTTTGCCATTGGTTCACCCTCCAATGGCCGCTGCGGCCCTGGCGCGCTGCGGCCGGCGCACCGCGCTGATCCGATGGCAGGAGCCAGGTACTTATCCTGGTCTCCCATGGGGTGCAGGGCCCAAGCACTTGGGACATCCTCCACTGCACTCCCTGGCCACGGCAGAGAGCTGGCCTGGAAGAGGGGCAACCGGGACAGAATCCGGCGCCCCAACCGGGACTAGAACCCGGAGTGCCGGCGCCGCAAGGCGGAGGATTAGCCTAGTGAGCCGCGGTGCCGGCCGGTATAAGTTTTTTAAAAAAAAAGTTGTTATTGGCTGGTGTTGTGGTAGCATGGGTAAAACCACTGCCTGCAACACAGGCATCCTATATGGCATCTGGTTCATGTCTCAGTCATTCCACATCCAATCCAGCTCCCAACATGGCCTGAAAAAAAACAGCAGAAGATGGCCCAAGTACTTGGGCCCCTGGACTTATTAGGAGAACCAGATGAAGCTCTTGGCTCCTGGCTTCAGCCTGGCCCAGCCCTGGCCACTGCAGCTATCTGGGGAGTGAACCACAGGATGGAAGATATCTCTGTGTCCCTTCCCCTCTCTCTGTAACACTCACTTTAAAATAAATAAATAAACCTTTTAAATATAAATGAAAATCATTGGTAAAACAATTATTAATAAATATTTCAGAAAATTACTGTATTTAATTAAGAAACCATTTGTTATTGAAGCTAGTTGGATAATTTTATTCTATTAAAACATTCTTTAGTATTCTCATATTATAAAGGATTTTCATTCCTCTTATTTGAGAATTAAAAATATCTATATATCTTAAAGGCATTACTGACTATTGAAATATCATCAACAGAATTTAATAATATCAATCATTGCCTCAAATTTATTATTGTAGAGGAGATTTTGAATAGTGGAACATTTTTGTGATAATAAATGTAAATAAAATTAGAATATTTATTGTGTGGTAATACTAATGAGGAACTAACAATGTCAGACAGAGTCATAGGATGTAGCCTCCAATTCTCAAGACATATATAAATTTGAACTTCAGGTCCTTGAACATTATCCCACTTTATGTTCAAAGGGAAAAATATGAAGAATGAAAAATTAGCTAGACAGGAGATTGTTCAAAATATTTTTAAATTTTAACTAACCATAAGATCTTGTTTATAGAGCTTTTTTCAAATTACTGAAAAAATCATAATGTAAAAAGGAATGAAACACCCTACAAAAATGCTCAATAGAATTTAAAATTTTAACTTAAGGGAAGTTGGAAGTTCAGTCACTCTCAAAGAGGCTGTAAGGATGATTAATATCCTGAAGGAAGCCTGAAAGAAAAAGGACACAGTCATTATTGGAAATATAATACAATGTTAACTCTCAAGTTTCACATTAAGACCAGAAAGCTTAAGTTCAAGACCATTACATCAATTTTTATAGAAACTTAATGTTTTCCAACTCCTGGTTCATCCCTTGAAAAGCTGTACATGGGTAATAATGATTATAAACTCAAATTAGTCACACACACACCAGAGCAAATTGGAAATGAAAAGCTTCTTCAATTACCCAAACTAACATAAATGATTTATTTCCTTCTCCTGACATGAAAGAGAAGAAACCACCCTGCACTAGGGTTAGCGCTCACTCAGCACAAATATTCCCAGAAAGGGTTCAACTTGGCAGTAAAGAAATCATCTATTCCAAAAGGTCACCACATCAGTTCAACTTTTGTCTGAATTGAGAAAAATCCTGTCAAAGTCCATCCCTGCGAAGCAGCAGCTGTTCTGCAGAATGACACCTTCCAAAGAAAAATAGTTTTTCATATTCCCCAGTGCAACTCTGCAACTCCATCTGACTAGTTCTCGTCTCCTGACACACTCTTAGTCACAACTCTATGCCTTTGCTTTTTCGTCTCAAATATCTACTTCCACACATTTCTCTCTATTTCACACAGGCTTAATTAAGCCCCGCTGAAAATCACATCCTCTCCTCAGGTCCAGAGCAACCCCAGTTCCTTGTAATGGCCTACAAATCTCTACACAGACTGATCCCTCTGTGTGTCTCCACGTCCTGAACCTCTGCCACCCCAAGCTGCATCTCACCTTGGGGCCTACCTCTCGTATGCTCCACCCCTACTGCTCTTCTGGATGACTCCTCACGCTATTGATTAAACGCTACACTCTCCGAGAGACCTTTCTTTATCTTAAGTAGGTTCCCTAATCCTTTCAGTCCCTTCCCTTTTTCCCAGCAGTGTCACAATTTTAAATTTTTTTTTCCTTTTCCCTCACTTTTTCATATCCACACTGGAATATAAGTTCCATAAGGGCAGAGAACATTCCCTGTCTTGTTCAAGTTGTGTCCCTAATGCACGGCATGCGGTAAAAATTTAATAAATGCTTATTCAACCAACTCCATCTATCCTGATGCATCCCTTTCCACCTCCATTTATTTTTGTTGGATTCAGAACAAACTGTACTCAAAGTTTACACAGCTTTATCACTACTATTCGAGTCAGTGTGTATACCTACCATCTTCCAGGTAAGCCTCTGTCAGAAGCCCTCATTGCCAGTGGAATTTACTATGTGCTAGGCACTTTTATCACTGCTTTACTTATGTTAGTTCATTTTCTCACCACACGTGAACAAACAGTTCTTTTTAACCCTGATTTTACAGATGAGGAAACTGAGACAGAGAGAGAGGAAGGCACCCAGGGTATCAAAGACAGGAACTGTCTACATTTCTGCACTTCTACTAATGGAACACAATTTCTACATTCAGATGAATGCCAGGAAAGAAGAGAAAGTAAAGCAGGGAACACAAGATAATTACAGCTTAAGGGAAACCAGGAAAATGTTTTAGAAATGGCAGTTAAGATGAGTTTTCAAAAACAATTTAATATTTTTAGAAATGAATACTGGGATTTGGTGCCAAAGTCCCTTATCAGAAAGAAAATAGAGTAACAAACATCCAAGAAAAGAAATATTAAGTGTGCAAAGGAAATGGTAATGGTGCCTTTATGATATGTTGTTTCATATCTTGAGTCTAAACTGTGAAGGTCTCTGCCTATCTCACTAAGGAGTTCGTCTGTGGCTGAAAACGGTGTAAGTATACAATAAGGAGCCAGGGTTGTGGCATAGCAGGTTCAGCTGCCACCAGTGTCACCAGCATCCTATATGGGTACCAGTTGCTGTCTCAGCTGCTCCACATCCAATTCAAGTCCATGCTAATGGACTGGAGAAAGCAGCAGAAGATGACCCACGCCTGTAAGTCCCTGCCATCCATATGGGAGATCTAGAAGAAGCTCCTGGCTCCTGGCTTTGTCCTGGCCCAGCCCCAGCCACTGTGGCCATTTGAGGAGTGAACCAGCTGATGGAAGATCTCTCTCTTAACTCTGACTTTCAAATAAATAAATCTGTTTTCTTAAAAAGGAATGCAATCAAGGTATAAAATGATTGTATTAATCCCTGTAGATCTATTGTCTAACCTTTTAGTAACACTTTCTTGTTCATTATCTATTTCTAGTGGTTATTTTCTCAGCAATTGGATTTTAAGTTTGATTGCAGGCACCATGGATATCTTACACTCTCATATAAGGGATTATGAAAGTTGACCCTTGAAAATGTCAGCGGGCAAGAAAAAGAAAATTCATCAGAAGAGACTGGAGATAGGCCAGGACTAGAGCAGCTTATATTCCCATGTAACAACAATGACTGCTGTAGATGCTTACAACAGAGTAAAGTGTGAGAAGAAATACAAAGGGTTACAGCTCTCAAATTTTGTAAAACAAAATCATTTTAAAATTATTCCCATAGTTATTTAAATTATACTATTTTTCTGAAGTGTTGTATATAACTTTTTAAAGATTAAAAATAGTAAATGTAATTGTAAATAAATAAATAGATGAATAGATAAATGTAAAAGTAAATAGACAATGAGTACTTATAAAACAAGAGCTGCAAAACAATTATTTACATAGAACTATGCAAAGTCTCATCTAAAATTTTACTAATGACCTTACCATGAACTCTCCTGGTGAATAACTCAACTCAGTGTCTGCTTGTTATGGTCCCCGCCCATAGTTTTCTATAATTCACTTCTTGAACTGGACAGATTTAAATAACTTTTCTCTTTCAGGAAGAATTTCCTTTCCCTATGATACTCCCACTAGACTATCTAAAATTCCGAACAACTAAAGGCACGTGTGCACACATGCACCGTTAAACCTTGTATTAGGAATGGGCTGAGTGGAAAATGTGTGTATGATTCTCCCTTACTTATGTTACTAAAGGCATATAATTTGCTTGTTTCATTCGTTCACTCTAGAGAGCCTGACATTCTGCTTTGTTTCCCAAATCTAGGAACTGAAAGACTAGACTACCACAAAATCATGAGGACTTATTTGCCTCTTTCTTTTCTTCTTTTTTCCCCAGTGATACGTGTGATCAACTGGGTGCTGAGAACTGTAGGCACGCAGAGTTCAGCAGCAGCATGGAAGCATCTAATGAAGGGAAGGACAATTTCAGCGCAGGACTCCGGGCTCCCGCACCCAGGGTGGATGTTCCTGGTGGCTTCAGCGCTCTCTCCCGCTGAGCCTGGGCACTGCTCAGATTCTCTTGACCATACTTTGGGCAACCACTATCTTGTAAGATAGTTCTTGTGTGTATGATGCTTTTCCTAATATCTAATATGTATCCTGCAATTCAAGGTACTTTGGAAAGCTACAATCTAATTTGCCACTCCCAGAGGACCCATTATTTAGCAAAATACTTCTTAGTACCTTGAAACATCCCAATAGCTTGACAGAATTTCTGCAGCTTATAGCATAGACTATGTGTGTGAACAGCTTCTGCTGATTCCGTGCGTCAGTGCTCCTGACAGACCCTGGCTGGCACCTCAGCACTGTGTGTCTTCACCCGTGAGTCCTTCTCCATGTGGGGACACCATGACCTCTTTTCCACACGGTAGATTACAACCTGATAAGAACGTCCACACAGTAAATTAAGACCATCCTGATGCAGCCATTCTCGACCTCTGCTTTTCTCTCTGCACAGACCACAATCACTGTCACTCACACCCATGGCTTCATGACCCCTCTTTCCTCATATAGGTCTCCAGTTCATAAACGTCTAGCTCCAGGCACCATCCTAGCTCCTGGCTAAAGTTCCTGAATGCATGTCTTGCTATTATCACAAATTCAATCTGTAAACTTGACCCTTCCCACCAGAATTTTTTGCCTTTTCTTTCATTTTCCCTCTTTATATTAATAGCATCACTATCTTCAAGTCACCCAAATTGGAAACTTTAAAGTCTCCTCTGGTGACTCTTTTTTTATTCTTACAAATAGTCACCTGGGGCCGACGCCGCGGCTCACTAGGCTAATCCTCCGCTTTGCGGCGCCGGCACACCGTGTTCTAGTCCCGGTCGGGGCGCCGGATTCTGTCCCGGTTGCCCCTCTTCCAGGCCAGCTCTCTGCTGTGGCCAGGGAGTGCAGTGGAGGATGGCCCAAGTGCTTGGGCCCTGCACCCGCATGGGAAACCAGGAGAAGTACCTGGCTCCTGCCGTCGGATCAGCGTGGTGCGCAGGCCGCAGCGCACCAGCCGCGGCGGCCATTGGAGGGTGAACCAACGGCAAAGGAAGACCTTTCTCTCTGTCTCTCTCTCTCTCACTGTCCACTCTGCCTGCCAAAAAATAAAATAAATAAAATAAAATAAAATAAAATAAAATAAAATAAAAAAACCAAATAGTCACCTGGGTTGGTCAACTCTGAAGTGTCATTAAGGCTCTCACTTCCTCCCAGTTTCTAGCACCTCCACACATTTTTTGGTTTTCATCTGAACTGATTTTAATGGTTGGCACTGTGATTTTAACTGGTCTTCCTGCCTGAATCTCTCCTCTTCAATCCATCCATTCCACTTCCCAGTTTCTCCTACCAACTCCATGAAGCTATATCTTTACACTCATACAAAATAGGAAAATATTCCTTGTTCATGATTAGAAAAATTAATATCATTAAAATGTCCACATTACCTAAAGCAATCTACAGATTCAGTGTAATCGCTATCAAAATACCAATGACATTCTTAAAGAATTTTAAAAAATCTCAAAATTCATATGAAACTGCCAAAGACCCAGAATAGTCAAAGCGACCCTAAGGAAAAAAAAATCAAGCTAAAGGCAACACAATGAGAAGTAAGTACAAAAAAAAAAAAAAGAGAGAAGTAAGTACACAGTGACTCCTGTTGTTGACTTAACAATTTGACACTCTTGTTTATTGCATCAGTAATCTCCCTAGGCTCTAGTAAAGAGTTGTCAAGGCTATGGAAGCCTTTTGAGTTCACTGACTTCGATCTTATTCCGACAGGGTCATAGTCAAAGTGGAAGTTCTCTCCTCCCCTTCAGAGAAAGGTACCTCCTTCTTTGATGGCCCTGTTCTTTCCACTGGGATCTCACTTGCAGCAGAGATCTTTCATTTAGGTTTGTTGGTTTTTTTTTTTTTTTTTTTTTTGCCAGCATGTCTTGGCTTTCCATGCCTAAAATACTCTCATGGGCTCTTTAGCCAGATCTGAATGCCTTAAGGGCTGATTCTGAGGCCAGAGTGCTATTTAGGACATCTGCCATTCTATGAGTCTGCTGTGTATCCTGCTTCCCATGATGGATCGTTCTCTCAAAAGGGGAACTCTTATAAACTGCTGGTGAGAATGTAAATAAATATAGCCAGTATGGAAGACAGCATGGAAATTGCTTTAAAAACTAGAAATAGATGTGCCATATGACCAAGTAATTCCACTACTGTGTATATATTCATAAGACATGAAATCATTGTTATCAAAGAGATACATACTCATAACAGCCAAGATATGGAATCAACCCAGGTGTCCATCATCAAATGAATAAAAAAATGTGGAGGGGCTGGTACTGTGGCATAGTAGGTTAGACCTCTGCCTGTGGTGCTGGCATCCCATGGGCACCAGTTTGAGTCATAGCTGCTCCACTTCCAATCTAGCTCTCTGCTTATGGCCTGAGAAAGCAGTGGAAGATGGCTCAAGTGCTTAGACCCCTGCACTTGTGAGGGAGACCTAGAGGAAGCTCCTGACTTCTAGCTTCATATCGGCCTAGTTCCAGCCATTGCGGCCATTTGGGGAGTGAACCAGCGGAAGGAAGATTTTCCTCTCTGGCTCTTCCTCTCTCTATCTGTAACTCTACTACTGCTCAAATAAATAAATAAAATATTTAAAAAACAAAAAGAAAATGTGGAATGCATATACAATATAACACTATTCAACCATAAAAAGAATGAGATTCTGTCATTTGCAACAGAATACACAGAACTGGAAGAGATCATGTTAAATGAAATAAGCCAAACACAGAAACACAAATACTAAATGCTCTTCCTCACATGTAGGAGCTAAAAAGAGAGAGAAAGAGAGAGAGAGAGAGAGAGAGAGAGAGAGAGAGAGAGAGAAAGAAACACAATATGAACACACAATGGTAATTACTAGAATTTGGGAGGGTGAGGGGATAAAGGGAGTTTGTATAAAAAAATAGGGGAATTTTGGCATGGAATTCATTAATTTGACAAACATATTACACTAATATTAGATGTCAATAATAGAGGAAGTTAGATGTGGTTTGTTAATTGTGACAAATCTACTAATGTAAGATGTTAATAACAGGGGAAGCTGGGTGTGGGGTATATGGGAACTCTGTACTACTTTGAATTTTTTTGTAAATTTAAAACTATTCTGAAATAAAATTTTAAAGGTGTATTTTTACAAATGTGAATGTTATCCCCCACCCCGCCTATAAAATGCCTCTACACTCACTGAAAATACAGGCTCTGTCTCCACAGTCTCTTTAGAGTCCACATTCCTAAGTGTGGGTTTTAAGGTTGTTCACAAATAAGGAAAGGATCACTGCCCTTCTCATCCTATGGTGAACGTTCAGATCCAGGGCCAGATTGCTCAGCAGCATGATGGTGAGCAGGATCCCTGTACATCCCAGCGTAGGCTGCAGGGGCCCACAAGAGGCATCTGCCTGAGGGTGAAGATGGACACATAGCCCATGCATGTGCCATCATCAAGCTCTGTGTGAGCACAGGGCGTCTACAGGTTCACAGAAGTGGGACTACTTTCTATTTTACACAAAAGCTATATAAGGTCTTGGTTTCCTTATTTATGAAGTGTGGATAAAACTCGGATTTACCTCACGTGGTTGTTGTGAAGATTCAATGAATTAATATGTGGAAAGCCCTTAGAACAGTGCCGAGGACATTGTAAGTGCCCAAGGAATGTCAGCTGTTAATCCCTCACCCTACCTCTTCCTTACACTTTGAATGTACAGCACAATTTACCTACCATTACTTATGTATATTCACTACTTTTTAACCTTCACGTTTTTCATTGCTCATCTTCTTCCAGTCCTGAAAATTCTTTCCCTGCAGCTCCAATCTCTGCCTGATGACATCTTTTCTATTCTTTAAGCTCAGCTCAGAGGCCACACTGCCTCCATTAAGCCCTACTTGATCCTCACATACATGAGTTCTCAAGACTGCACTCGAACCATGGGTACCTATGGACCTTTACCATGGAACTTACCATGGTATATTTGCACTATGAAACTTATCAGGTGAGTGTTTGGCACAGTGATTAAGTTGCTACATGGAACATGGCATGACATACTGGAATGTCTGGTTCCAGTCCTAGCTCCAATCTCCATTCCAGCTTCCTGCTAATGAGTACCCTGGGAGTCAGCAGGTGACAGCTCAGGTACATGGGTTCTTTCCACCCAGGTGGTAGACTTGGTTTGAGTTACAGCTCCCACCTTTGACCTAGTTTAGCCCTGGCAATAGTGTGCACTTCATGAGTAAACCAGCAGATAGGAGATCTTTGTCTCTTTAAAATAATAAAATAAATAAATTTAAAAATAAGGAGAGAGAAAGAGAAGGAGAAGACCATCCCCACCACCACCATCAGGAAGAAATGAATCAGAGAAACTCATATATTTGTTAATTACTTCACATGCAGTACGTTCTAACTTTTTTTATTTTTTTAAATTTTATTTATTTTATTTAAAAGAGTTACAGAGAAGGAGAGGAGAGGAGAGGAGGGGAGGGGAGGGGAGGGGAGGGGAGGGGAGATCTTCCACCTGCTAGTACACTCCCCAACTGGTCACAACAGCCAGAGTTAGCCAATCTGAAGCTAGGCACCAGGAGCTTCTTCAAGGCCTCCCACGTTGGTGTAGGGGCCCAAGCACTTGGGCTACCTTCTGCTGCTTTCTCAGGTGCTAGCAGGAAGCTAGGTCAGAAGTGGAGTTGCCAGGATTGGTACTGGTGCCCATGTGGGATGCTGGTGCTGCAGATGGCAGCTTTACCCCCTACACCATAGTGCCAGCCCCACCCTTGCATTTTTCTAAAATGATCATCTTTTCTGGAGACCAAATGTTTAATTTTGTGTAATTTCCAGTATAAGTTAGAATAGACTTGGTGTAAATTAGAATAGACAACTCGTATTTAGTCTGCTTGAACATAAAATTGAGAGAAATGGAGATAAGAAGAGTAATTGAGGTACAGAAGAGATTAATACCATTACAGCATATTAAAGCAAGTCATATATCCTTCATTCTTAAGTAACTGTGATGATTAGCCAGACAGATCAACAGCAGTGAATAAATGGACAAAAATATACCCAGTATTTAATCTATGAAAAAAATCATATGGGCTCTTCTGCCATTGCATATTGACTTTGTCTCTTTGTACAGCTTTTGGCCAAAAGTCTACTTTGTCCAATGTAAGTGTATTTACCCTTGTACTCTTTTGCTTTCCATTTGTATGGATTATATTTTCTTATACCCTCACTTCCAGTCTATGTGTCTTTAAAAGAGAAGTAAGTCTGTTATAGTCAGTATATAGTTGGATCTTCTTTTTTCATCCATTTGGCCATTGTATGTCATTTTGGAGAATCCAATCCATTTACAT